GGGGGGGGGGGCAAGATAAACAAATAGCGACGCGTCAAGTGCTTCCGCGTGAATGCCGCGGAGCCGTTTCTCGAGTGGCCACATAATTTTAGAACCCGTTAGGATTCGTCTTTATTTTCATTCGTTGAGAAAATACACGAGGACTCTACGAGTCTGTCTTTCCCTTGAAATGCTGGAAACAATGATTCAGCATTGAAAAAAAAGAAAAAGAAAACGAAGAAACTATAAATAAAGTCGCGACGCGAAAATGTAAAACGATTCAAAATCGGATTCAAGATTCGAACTGTCTAACTACTTTTGATAATATCTAACGATTGAAATAATTATCTTTTTATAATCAATAATCAAAGATATACACGAGCAAAGCAGTGTAATATTAAGTACATTTACGTTAGTGACATCACTGTATTTTTTTCATTCAATATTATTTATTAAACATATATATATTTAATAAAGCTTTTCTCATATAAAATATTTATAAGTATGATTGTATCCAGTATTTCTTTATACATTATATACTGTTAATATATTTTATGCAAAAGAAATACGGAAATAATGAAATCAAATTCATATACGTATATTTTCATACTTGCTTCAAACAAATATGAACGAGAAATATTTTTTCGATATTTAATAACGAATGTCTCTGCACATTTATCAAATGCATCTGTTACCATTAATTATCCGATTCGGATTCCTACATTCGATTTTGATATTTGGTTATTACGCACATTTTCTGCTTTATATTTCATTATATATCGTTAATTCTACTTACTCAGAAGCTATGTAAATTATTCCATGCCAATGGAGAGGAAATTAGTAAAGTTTATACAAAAGCCAATTCCGCGCAAATATTAAAGGTAACAACGACAATGCAACGACAACAATAAAGCTGCAGTTATTTTATCACGTCGCTAAAGTAACTAAACAATAAAATCTGCCACACGTTGACGTGTTTTTGCATTGTTAACACACGATGCGGTGACCACGTAATTCAACAGACCGCTACAATAATTTGTTATTGCTGGTGCGCGGCAAGATGTGTGTAATGGCTGACGGTTAGCGCGCCAGTTCTCTACTTGATTAATTTTATCGGAATTGTCAGAAAGAAGTTTAATCTCATTGCGTTGCAATTTCATCAGCATCCTTGTTATTATAGATAGGTAATATAAAATAATGATATTCGTACTTTACAGTATCTTTCTAATATAAAAAAATATAAAAATTATTTTAATTTATATATCACGCACTTTGAGAATAGATGGAATTAAAAAATTATTGCAATTAAAAAAAAACCAATTCATTATATCAACGTTACATTAATGTAAAATATATTAAAGTTCGAGAAATTATATTACTTATCTTCGAGTTATGAAGGATATACTACCGTACATAATTGCGTATTCTATAAATTATTTAAAATTAAAAATCCGGATACGAAAACGTCGAGATCGCAAAAGTTTTCGAGTTATAAGAATTTCTGTTATTCCATAATGGAATATTTGAATCTAATGTTTTTTTACATAATTTATAAAACTAATCAACTAATAATTAATTAAATTTTATATAATTTATTAAGTATCAGTATCTAATTACCGTTGTGAAGAAAGAAAATCTTTGCCCGCGAGAAATTACGAAGCACTGACTTGCTTTAAGTCAATGACTTGCAATTACTTTTTTATCGCTTCGATTTCTGTCGAGTAAATAAAATCGCGCGAAATGTATCTACGTTGATAACCAGCCTCGAGCGGGCTTATGAATCGGGAATCGGGAGAGTCGCGAAGTCGCGCGAGAATTACTATCTGTAATAATCTCAGGACGGAGTGACGAGACGCTTTCAGCGTCTCTTAATATCTGCCATCTAATGTAATTCCGACGAGCAGTGAGAAAACGCGGGAGCGAGCGACTCGTGCCGCTACTCACTCGGCCGAGTGTCGGCAGTTGAATGATAACGCGCCGACCTTGTGTACGCAGCACGACGGACGAGTGTTACGGCACGCCAATCTTGTTTACGCAACGCGCCACAGACCGTTAAGATACAAACATCGTGTATCTATCTAGACGAATATTTCCGTAAAATATTCAATGTAAATTCTGTAAAATAATCAAGGATATTATAAAATACTGTGTATACCGCCGATTATTGTGTTACAAATATCCTGTTATTATGTTTCTGACTATCGTGTTTCTAAACAGAAAAGGATTATTATCGAGTTATTTGCGTTTCATTTGTATACAATACATACGTATGAATATATAATTTATTATTATTACTAGCAAATCTCAATTATGCACAATTATTCAATATCTTTCTTTTATTGAGAATTTGTGGATGGTTAATTAATTAATTATGTCACATTATACATTGAAGTACGATGTCTTATTTGATTAAAGAATAAAAATAATATCATCTGCACTGCGAAAATCAATAAACGTAATCGATACGAATATAAAAACGTAATCACAGACTTATAACTCGAAAACTATTGTAATCTCGATCTCATTTTTGCGTTTATTTTCGCTTGATCTAAAATAATATTTGACTTAAGAGTCGTATGTGTATGAATCACTTACCTTCACCGGTATGCAGAATATGATTAACAGAAGATCAGCCGTGGCCAGACCGCCCAGAAAAACATTCGTCGGTGTCGCCGGTAACGGCCTGAGCCGGCAAAGGGTTGAAGCGATGATAACGACGTTTCCTGAAAGAAATTACAATTCCTTGACCGTAAAAGAACCAACGATATTCCTCAGACATCCCGGGAAAATCTCACGGGACATTTGAAAGAAGGAAATGAAGATCTTAAAGCCTTAATAAATTTTCCTGCATAATGAACAATAGAGTAATATCGCGATTGCGTTCAATAATTTACAGTTTAGGTAGGTTTAATATCGCAGATGAGCATCATTTTGTAATTAGCTCGTGCGGATAATTGCCAACTCGTTTACGACGGAGAGATATTGTGAAAGTTAATTACGAGGAATAACCAAGTTTAAATAGATATTTTACCGAGATCGATTTTGCGTGTGTATATAAAACAAACTGTATCTTATGTGTAATTGTGTATCTATGTATATCGTTCAAAACTGTATCGTCAAAAAAAAACATTTTTTTATTTTCGACATGTGTATTAGTTGTTAAAGTGATTTATTTAGAAGAGAAACGTTAACGTTCCGATTAACTGATTACATTCAGAAAAAAATTTCGTCGTCGGCAAAGCTGTCTCTCCTCTTAATTATTTTCAAATTATAATGGCATAATTATGGAAAATTGAAGCACGCCAATTGACCGCGTTTCGCGAATTCCCGCATACTTCAAATGCCACTTGTCGTTAACAGTTATTAATAGTCGTGTGTCAAACGCGAAACAATCGCCGGGGAACGGCGGGAAATACGGGAAACTGCGTCCGGCCGCGTGGATTAATGAAGGGTAATTCGAGATCCCAGCCGCTTTCGGAAGTGGTTTGTATTATACTGGTAACTTGTACCATAACACGTCGCCGCGTAATTAAGAGCATATTAGGCTCTGCTGCACTTTACAAAGCGACGCTGCCGCTGCGGTTTCCACAGGCGAGAAACAAGATTTGTCATTCGCAAATACTCCATTCGCTGCACCGCATCTAATTCGCGTCTTTAAGACAAATTACGGTATTACTCCGCCTCTATTTACCATCCAATTAGCGATTTTGCGGAACTGAAATACGCGATAATTTTTTTTTCTTCTTCTTTTTCCTTTACAATCGCGATATACGACGTGATGAAAAATAAGGCAACGAGACTCCGCAATTCTCGCCGTAATTATATGAGTGCGGTTTAATGTAAAGCATAGCGTGTTACGTCGTGGTTCATACAGCGGAATCATAAATCACGAGCGAGAAAGCCTTCTGCTCCTTTGAGAATGTACGCGCTACGTCTTACGTTTTTCAACAATTCTTCTCTTTTATTCTACGAGATTTATCGCGTAATTAACGATTCTGCAAAATAAAAATGTTTCTTGCGCGATTCTTTTATAGATCACGCAACGAAAATATACATCGATATACTCCTCGGTCTCGCGTGAAAACAATATGATAATAGTGTAATAATAATAGAAACCGACGGTTAAGTTTCTCAACGCCTGCTTAATCATTTAAAGAAACTGTCAACAGTCAATAATTAAGTCGATGATTAACCGTAATAATTATCGTATCCTACAAACCTAATGGCAATAATTGATTAGCGACAATTAACATTTCGATATGCTTCAAAATTATTATTAAATTCACGAAATCAATATTTTAATTTTAACAATTCAACTCTACAAGAATGAATAAAATGTAATATATGTCATTAAAATGTTAATCAAGAACTTATACCGTTTCGCGTGAATTCTGCAGTGCCTCATTAATTTTTGTGAAATTTTAATACTACGGAAATTATGATCAAAAAATAATTAAATTGTGTTAAAAAAATAAACTGCAGTTAAAATTAAACTGTATTAAATACTAAAATGTCATTCAAACCTTTTTCGTACGCATTCATTAGTATTAATAGTTTAAAAATCATTTGATTTATTGATATTCTAAGATTAATTTACACAGGCAAAATTTTAGAGATAAGTTAAATTAGAGAAAAATATTAAAAAACTTATTAAAACAGAGGTATTAAGCAAACCCGCAGCTTGCGCGAATCTCTATTGTGTAGTAGAAGTTAATCTACGCTTTGAAAGTAAACGGTTTCTGTTGTGTTATGTTAAAGTTATACAGTTTATGATAGTACAGGTCTGTGCACATTGTACCCCAGATTACATTATATATCGAATATACGCGACAAGAAGCTATTATATTAATATTCATTATCTAGCATTAATATTCATCAAGCAGTTTAAAGCACGGTTAGACTTACAATTAGTTTACGCAGTCAATTATGTTCGATTAATTTAAATGAAAGTCGTCACGCAAAATAGATTTCACAGAGGCAAGTCAATAAGTCGAATAAATTTATAATTTACTAACGTAAGATTAAAAATGATACGCGTACATAATTATGTAAAAATCTAACATCAAAATGTCACAATAAGTAAAAGAAAAATTTATAATTTTTTAAATATTATTTCTTATATAAGTAAAAAAGTTATTTCTTTACAATAGAAGAATACATAACTATAAATCTATATACATATTTAACACACGCGCACACACATACTTTCCAATTTATTTAAAACATTCTCGTCAATTTTCCAATGAATACCGTAAACTGCGGTTAAAACGATCGATTGTTCTATGCAAAGAGCGTTAATGTTTTTAATTAAAACAATCTATGTGTGCGTGTTCTTGATTTATTGATTTATACAAGCACAAAAGCGCGAAAGTATTAAACTTACCGATTAATCCGAGGAAGAAAGTCAAGGTGTAGACTACCAGGACAGGCGCTAGTTCCCCCCATTCGAAATGACTGAAGGAATCGTTGATGTCGTAATCGGGAAAATCAGTCATGTTGGTGCCGTTCGACGGGACGTCGTCTACTAACTCGTCGACGATTGACATCACGGTGAGATTATCGAGGACCATTTCCGAAAATTATGTATCGTTACGTACTCGCGAACACGAACGTTATCGCGGCGCGGCTTTACGTTTTACTTAGGATTGCCATCATATTAAAAGGCATTAGAAACATATGTAATCGGAAGGAAGAAGCAGAGTAAAAGGATGTATTTTTAAATATGTGTTTGTCGTCGCTCACCGCACATTCCATATAAAATTAGACTTTTTATCTTCAAAGGATATTTAAACGTGGTCGCGTGATAGATATGCACGGAGTATGCAGGACTGCTCAACGAGAAGTAGGACATATGGCAACCCTAAGTTTTACGCACGACAGAGTTTTCACCGAGCTCTCCGCTACTGTCCAGATACCCACACGAATTGTTTCGCTTGAGTTTCCTCGTTCTCATCCTAGCGCGATTCGTCGTCGTCGTCGTCGTCTGGAAAAAGCAAAGAGAAACTGTCAGCCCGCAATAAACGTAACATTTTGTCCTTTGATGAAACGCGCTAGTATAAATTTTTGCGAATTAGCGAGCGCATTTTATCTCTAAATAAAATATACAAAACAATTTATCTTATTATTTGGAATATTTATCACAAACTTTGAAAATAAAAGACATGAAGCTTGCCAAAAAATATAGATATAGAAAAATGTCCTGCATGATCATTGAAAAAATATATCATGTGAAAGAAGAATTAATTAGAATATATTGAAAGAAATGTATGAAACAATTTTCTTTTAATTTTCTGAAACGGAGAGCTCTTACAGGATTTGACGTAAATATCCAATTGTCAGCTGCAATAAAATGCGAGTCCAATTTGCAAGTGCTAAAGGAAGCTTTGTGTACCACTACAGTGGTAGATCCTTCATATAGATTCAGAGAAGGGCGCTATCAATAAAGATCAGCGCGGAACAGAGAATCGTATTCTCGGAAGAGAGAATTATTCGTTTCGCTCACCGGCGCGATTCGCGATAAACAGTCGCTTTAATGAAATCTCAGCTTTAGCTCGACGTATCCTGACGATACTACCTCAAGTGATAAACGTGTTTCACACGCAAACGAACACATGATTATCGTCTCCCGATCGATAATCGACATATGCCGTTCGATTCGTCATAAAGCAGCGGAGGAGATGCAGCAGCCGCTAAAACGCAGTCACATATAATTTGCGCGCATAATTTCTCCGTGACAATCGGACGGCAACGCGTATTTGCAATATTAACAGTTCGGAAGTGCATTTTGAAGAGAAGAAATTTATTTCGCAGACAGTCGCGATTAAAACGGAACGTATACTGTCGTCCGTATAAATTCGAGATTTCATACGAAAACAGAACTAGATGCCAGAAGCAAAGGAAAAAAGAAGAACCGAGGTTGAGGTAACTGAAAAACATTTAGATATTGTAGGTATTGGATTGAACGAAAAGTTCATTCAGTTTTTTAACTAAAGTTTTAGCATTTTTTTTAACAAAAAACTGAATAAACTTTCCGTTCAACCCAATAATATCGTTTATCTTGAAGCACTATTGTGACATTTAGCTCGAGTTTCTCTTCGAATCTTGAATTCAGAAGTGCAACAATCCAAACAATGTTTAATCTTGAATTCACTGAATAATTCATATCGGAAAAGGAAGCTTTTAATCATAGATTACTTGAAGAAAATTTCAATAAGTTTCCAAATCCAGTTACCAAAATTCCATGCGTTTAATTAGCCACTTCTGATACGAAATTTTTATTTTATACATTTGATCTTTATACATTACGAGAAACGTTTAATAGCAGGATCTCGAAAGTAATTAAGATGAGAATGAAACCGAGACTGCAATTCCTACGTCGTAAATAAAATATCAAAGTTTTGCTAGCTCCACTTGTACTTACATACGCACACGTAAACATATGGAAAAAGCATATAAAACCTGAGGTATATTGCCTCTGAGGTATAAGACTGATTGCTAAAGTACTCTCTCAAGTGACGCCTCAATAAATATCACATTTCGTTTAACAGCGCGACCGCATATCTCGCGTCGAACCCTTCAAATGGAATAGTTCGCATGCTTTAAATGCAGCTTCGTAGGTAATAAACGTTTGCGTCGAGAAAACCACCGTAATTTACGGTGGTTTTCCTGACACGAATGTTCCCAATGCGCTGCATTCAATATTGTGCGTCAAGCCGCGCTTACAGAGGAGCTTATTCGAACGCGATCGAAGAGGAAGAATCATGCCGCCATGACGTTGAATATTGAAAACTAGCGCCAAGCATCGTCCACTTCGCTTTTGAACTGGCATTTGCATGATACTCGCGCTAATAATGCTAAATAACATTTTATACTGCGTATTACTAACGCCCACTGGCGTACGATATTTTACGGTATAATACCGTATTTTAAACGGTATTTTCTTTTGTAACGATCGCGTGTACAGAGTAAAATTGTACGTTCCATTATTACATATAAATTTGAAACCTCGAATAAATAAATAAAATCAAAACGCATTTCATTGAAACGCGTGATATACATATGCTCTGGTTGATACTGAAAATAGACGTTGTCTAAACACTAGAATAAAATAATATAAAAAAAGTAATATTTTCTTTTATATTTCACCACGCGTTTAATTTTCATATCCAAATATAATCAGAAATAAAAAATATCAAATATTAAATAACAATCTCAGCAGGCTTTAATGTAATTATATATTACAAAAAAAAAGTAAAAGGTAAAAGGTTTTTAAATTACGTATAGGCAAAAAAGTAAAAGCTAACATAACAGGAAACTACAGATCAATTAACGAGCAAATTTTTAACTGGGTGTTATATATTAACACCATATATATTTCAAAATTACAATACTAACACTGTACAAAAACGCGGTACCAATTTCGACTGTCACTTCAGCCGCTCTAACTTATTATACACGCAATCTTAATATAATGTCACGATATAAAAAAAGTAAAAGGTTTTTTTAAATTACTACGGAGACACAGCTATTGCTTTAAGATTCGCCATTTGACACCTTCTCAGAAGACTGTTGGCATATCCGACGAGAGGCAGGGATTCCATTTCCGACGGAGAAAATCGAATTATCTAATACAGCGGAGCAGTGGCGCTGCAGCTCGGGATCGCAAATATATTGCGACCGCGTTCGTAATGCATTTCCCAGGCGAACGATATTGTATACGAAAGAAAAACGAAAGAAAAATCGTTTAAGCATAATGACGTGGTATACGAGTTGACCCGCGGTCACGTTGAGCTAAAGGTACGTTGAACGGAGTTGGCTAATGATACAAAAAGACGCTGTGTATAAAACCAAACGTTTTTACGCGATCCTCGCAATTCGCAATCGCAATTTTCAATCTGTGTACGTGTGGAGCGTTTTAAAAAGTCGTACACACGAGATCGTCAGCAGAAGGAAGCTCGGGAAGCGAGAGTTCATTTCCTTTTTCCGGTTTCGATATCGTATATAGGTAATATAAGTATGTGATTCCTTCTGGTCACCCTCGAGACGGAGGGAATTTGATATCGAAAGAAGCGGAACAAGTAAATTTGATTATTAAAGAACTTCTGGCGCAGAAATTTCTGTCTGAGGAAAAATCTTCTCTGAATTCACCGCGGAGTTTGCGATTGAGCGGAAGCGCACGACTCATGGGATGCGCGTTACGTCAGCGGATACATTAACTGCGTCAACTACCAGCAAATTCAATTTTAGAGCTTTCTACGACCGACGCTCAAATTAAGCCCTTCTGGTTCCGCGTTGCGGTTTTATTTCTCGCGGCTGCACTGTGAGACGTGACGGAATAACGCGGGTAAAGTTCAACAGAGAGTCACCCGCCCACGTGAAACGGTATTTTCTAATCAATTAAAATAATCGTACATTCGCTCTGACTCGCGAAAAAATTTCCGACGCGCAAAAAGATATTTTACTTGCGAATAAATAATATATACTTTCCAGTTCGAACTAAATGAGATTTTTTTTTTCTTATCTTGCATCGGAGCAAATTATATATATCTAATATTTTAATGCATGACATAGCGTAAATTGTCAACCCAAAAGCGAGATTCATAAATCGTTATATATTAAAAATGATATCCATTTGTCGCGCATAGCATCTATATAAAACTTAGCATAGCTTAAGCTTTAAGTAAAATATCTCAACAATTTGCCCGCGTACGACTGTCTGCGCGAACATTTTAGTACTGTAATATGCAAATAACGTACGATGCAGCTTCTGCAGCATACCAACAAATGACCTCGAAAAAAGTAGAATTTTGCGTAAAGATATTTATATTTCGTTCTACTAAATATTTTTCTAGCTCTTGCAAAATATTTTATATTTTTCAGAACTGACAAGAGAACCGTTCTCAGTTGCAAAAAAAGACTGGATAAAGGAAATGCATGTAATAATTACATTTTTGAGAAAAATGCATTTGAAACTTGTATATCTCATGTGTTCACAATGTTTTTAAATAAAGCCATTCTATGCTAAAATTAAATAATTGTCTTAAAAATAATAATCGTAGAAATGTATCATTTTTCTCAAAATAATTTTTTTACTTATTCATCTATTTTTCCAGTCTACTATCACCTCATAAATTATCATAAATTCTTATAAATTCTCATAAATGCATATACAAGTTCCGATCGCATTCTTTTAAACACAAAAATCCAATCACATATGTAATATTTTTCACTTGTTGCCTAAAATTGAATATGACATATGTAAGGAAAAGAGAGAGAGAGAGAGGAAAACAGCAGATGGTCTGTAAACAGAGTCACACATCACAATCAGAATGAGCACATTTTCCAATTTAGCGACTACAGTCAATGTTTTCACACCAACAAATATTATGTGCCAGTTCCAATATTAAATTCTATACTGCTGGAGGCTAATTTTATATCTGTTTACATTTAACTCGTTGTTACACAATAGTAGCTGTAAAAGCGTACTTGATAGAATATAAGAATTAAAATCGACTTGTGACAGATGCTTGGGTGACAAATACGCTACTTGGGAAAATTACAAAATAAAACTGAAAACGACTTTATAAGTACAAACGTACACATTCGCGATAATTGCTTTAGTGAATTGCTTTTGTTCAATTACAGGCAAACTTGGATGTATTTGCTCACTTAATGAAGTCTCCGAACCTTAATAAAGTGTCAAATAATTCGCTCGCTCAACCTTTACTATTTTACTGATATTTTACCTGGTACTATATATGTAACAGTGTATGACGTCTGCTTCGTCTATTTTTCCATTGCGAGGCTGTTCGCATGAACGAAGGACTCTAGATAATTGACGATTGTAAAAAAAAAAGAGCCGTTATTAAATATAGATCGACGTGCAATGAATCGGAGAAAACGTACGCTGTTTGTTCGACGAGTGGTGGGGGGGGGGGCCAAACCAATAATGAAAGATTGAAAAAGCGTCGTGTACAATTACCC